ACTTGAAACCTAGTACTGTGCGTGAAAGTTTTGACTGTCCAAGCATATCCAGCAGCAGAAGAGTGGTTTCTTGTTTGTTTAAGTTTAGAAAATTTTGGCTTGCTCTTCAAACCTGCACTCTCTCTTAAACATGTATCTTGCTTGCTGCCTCTCTTTCTTTTCTTGCAAATTTCCACGCTGAAGAAGCCAGTGTTCTCTCTCAAACACATATCCCCCCTCTTTCTCTCCTCTCACATCGTTCAATCTCACAAGTTTCCATCAATAAAAACTGTCTTGTTTCACCAAAATAAATACAGTTTAAAAATAAGTCCTTTAAAAAAAAAGCACTGCTTCTAAGGAACTAAAAAGATTTGAATCCAGCATTCCAAGTGATAAATGTATAGGTAAATGATGAATGTATATATTTTAAATATTAAATGAGTTTATTGACTGGAAGAAATACCCAGAGCCAATTTTGCTTCTCCTGCTTCAGAATGTTGGAAATGATGCCAGCAAGTAAGTTCTGGGAGGAAAGAGTCACACCAGGGAAGACTGACATCCTCATCCAGGACCCAGACAGGATACAAGTGGATCATGAAACTTCTAGCGCAACTAACACTCCCTCAAACAGAGGTTGCTTTGGGACTCCTTGCCTGGGTCCCTGGGTCCCATCAGGTTACTTCCCTTGGAGGGTACTGTTGTTCCTCGGTCATCTCTTTCCAAGGCTGGGGTTGCCCCTTGACCCACTGGGAATCTTCCTGGAAAAGTAACATGTCAAGACATTTGCCCCATGTTACTTGACCCCAACCATTTTCCTCGTCCTTTATTTTTAGCAATGCCAAGCATGGGTTTAAATGGTGGTGTCTAGCAAGTCATTTCCATTCCCATCTCCGTTTATTAAACACACAGAGTTTTACACCTCTGTCAATTACATTACATCTAAGGTTTGCAGCTATTCAGCAGAGCAGGGCTGCTTACTTGATTGATCTTTATTTAAAGACCAAGTTTCAGAGACTTTATTAAAGCAGTTCTGGCCTATGTGTTGTTTTGCATATAACTCAGGTGTGTGTACATGACAAAAGAGCTTTCTCCAGCCCTGAAGGCACAGCAGAAGCACCGCTGAGCGGTTTGTGCAGGGCTTCAAAGCTTGTCTTCCTAGACCTGATCCCCACGTTATGACACATAATCCCCAAGTGCTTAGCTTGCTTCTGGCAAAGATGGAACAAGTTCAATGTAGGGCTATGTAGCACCCACAAAAAAAGAATTCAGGAGAAAGAAGATCCCACATCTTTGCATGCAAAAGGGAAAAGACTGTTAACAACAAAAATGACAAACATGCAAAGGATGTGGGGGCGACTTGACTCAGAGTGAGAAAGAAGAAACCTGGAGATTTAAATACCAGCATTGGGGTTAACATTAATTTTAAAAAGGAGAGATGAACTCACTGATACCAATATTCATTACCAAGAATATTAAAATGGCCAGACACTGGGAAGCAGTTCAGAGAAGATCCCCACTTATTTCTCTCAAGCCAGAGAAACTGAAACAATTATTTTAGGGCTGGATCTGTTGATCTGTCTGGGGCTATGTCTATGATGCATGGCTGTGCAGCAATGGTATATTTTGAGGTATTCATTTCACTACATAATCATTGCAGATCTCTCTCTCTCTGTGTGTGTGTGTGTGTGTGTGGTGGTGGTGGTATTGGGGGCACACCTCGTGGTCCTCAGGTCTTACTCCTGGCTCTGTGCTCAGAGTTCACTTCTGGGGATGCTCAGGAGACCACAAGCAAACTGTGAATCAAACTACGGTTACTGCATGCAAGGCCTTAACCCCTGAACTATCTCCCCAACCTCAGAGTCAAATTTTTTTTTTTTTTGCTTTTTGGGTCACACCTGGTGATGCTTACTCCTGGCTCTGCACTCAGGAGTTACTCCTGGCGGTGCTCAGGGGACCATATGGGATGCTGGGGATCAAACCTGGGTCGGCCGCGTGCAAGGCAAACGCCCTACCCGCTGTGCTATCTCTCCAGCCCAAGAGTCAAAAATTTTATGGCTTTTTTTAAAACTAAAAATGTGCTGGTACTACTTAAAAACAGGTGCAACAAATTACAGTAATAAAAAAAATAGTTACATAAAGACCTTAAACGTACTGTGACTAAATTTGTTTGCCAGATCTCATTTTGGTAGCCATATCATTTACAATTTAGAGAAAATGCCATACCAAGTACTTTGAAGCATTGCCTTGGAAAAAAAAATAAAAAACACCAAGGGGCTTTCAAGCCACACACACCTAGATTTCAGCAAGAGGAGATGTAAGAAATTGCCCAATCTAGAAAGATATTCTTCTTAAAAGTACTATCGGCTCAGTCACTACTAAATTTAAATAAGATACTCCTTTAGAAAGAAGCACCGGGAAAAGGCTTGTTCTTTCCAATGATGAAAAGAGGTGTTTTTTTTTTTTTCCCAGAAATTGCCCAAAGGATTCTGTAAGCAGCTATTTTCTCCTTTTAGGCTGGAGGCAGCTGAGAAGCAAGTTTGATGTGTGGTAGCTATCATTTCCCTCAGTCAGCATTTTGTGTTATCATGTCTTCTCTTTCTCAATTTGCCTTTGAGTTAATTTTCATTTCTTCTTCTTTTTCTTTTCTTTTTTTTTTTTTTTTGGACAATGTCACTTTTCTTCTTCTTTCCTGAAGTGGGTGGCATACTAGAAAGGTGCAATTAATTCTGATTTAAAATGTGCCTCTTTAGACCTATTTCCAAAAGGCATTGTATTCCCTGGCAGAATGTGTGTTTCCTCCCTCTCCATTGTTTATTTACTTGAAGTGAGATAGAACAAGAAAGCCAAAGACAACACATGGAGGATGGAGGGTTTGCCTGGAAACTCCCCAGGAACAACTGGCAAAATAATACCCTCTGCAACAGATAAGTCCTGCAGAATATTATGATTTCCATGTGCAAAGACTCTTTCTTTCTCTTATAGGAACATAATTGGATGCTGGTTTCAGCCAGTTCTTTCCTTAATGCTCAAGCAACAATGCAAATGACAAATGGGACCCGCAGGTGCTGTCTTCACAGCGGATGCACGCAAATGTGGCAGTGTGGCTGGCATGTGTCTGGGTTCCCCCAGAGCCAGGCTGCAAGACAGAGCTTTTGTGCTAAGGGAATAAAATTAACATGCAGCAGGGAACCAGGTTTCCCCTCCTGCTTGCTACAAAAGCTTCCCCAGGTTTCTAGGATCTCCATGGAAGGTCTTTGTGCCATTTGGTTTTTATTTTCCGATTGAGTACCAAGCTTTTAGAAATTAATTCACAAGTTAGGAGATTTACGTACAAATGCAGGGGTTTGGAAATTATTTTCCTTCAAATGAGTGAGTCCTCCCTGACCTTCTGGGTGCTGTGTAATTCTGAGGAGGAAAGGCAGGGAGCTCCCTAATGCTCTGCGTTATGAAGACCTGGTAACACATCAGATTTCAGGAGACAGCAGGCGTGAAAACATGTGGCAAGTGAAAGATGGATTTTGCAGGGCGGTGGGCGGAATTCAGAGCCTCATGGATACAAGGCGAGTGCTCTGATGCTGAGCTACATCCTGACTCAACTGACTTGTTTAATAATCTAAGAACTGGTCCACACAACTGATGTGGGGTAAGGGGTATTATTGAAAGGGAGGGTTTCTGGGGTCTTTGGGGGTACAGTGGTGATGGGTGTGGTGTTGAGATTATGTGCATGAGAATCAGTTATTGACAGCATTGTAAACCTCAGAATCTCAATAAAGAATAAAAAATTTAAAAATCTGCCATTAAATACTGCTTCCCCACGTGTGTGTGTGTGTGTGTGTGTGTGTGTGTGTGTGTTTGCGTGCGTGCGTGTAAGTATATAGCTGGAGATTGAAACCAAGGCCTCATACATGCAGGTTCTGTGCTCTTGTATTGAGCTGCATCCCAGCCTCAGGCAGGCATGTTTGTAAAAACAGAAACCCAAAGAGCCTGAAACCAGCCGCGCGATGGTCTGGGAGCTGGCACATATGAGATGGAGCCTGGCACAGTGCCCCCCCCAAACACCCGCCAGAGGGAATGGTGTTTGCCACCAGGTGTATTTCCCATTCTTCCCCTTTCCTGGCCCAGGAAGGCTAATCTAGCATTGCCTAAGTTCCCTGGTGGTTCATGCTTCCGCTGAAGGCGCAGATAAGAAGAGAGCGAGTCGGTAATCCTGCCTACCATCCTCAGTCTTGACGAGGACCTCGATGTTAGCCCCTGAAAGTGGTTCTTGTCCTAGCTTTTGCCTCATCATCCTTGGTTTTCAGCCCCCTGTGCTCTGGACTCTAGGTTTACTCCTGTTTTGATGCTTGGTGGGTGGGAAAGGGTAGGGGGATATGTATCAGTAATCTGAGAGCTCTCCTTCTCTCCCTCCTCTCTCTCTCTTTCTCAGACCTGTTGCTTTTCTTTTAACCCACACTTCTAACACTTCTAAAGGGGTCCCTTCTTTGGGTCTTTTCATTTGAACCATCTGGGGCAGATTCTGTTCCCAGCCCACTGATACAAATGGGGACCAGCTGGAGCAGACGAGGATGGGTGTGGGGCCACCCATTCTAGTGGGCTGGAATCCCAAGCCTCTGGGGTCGCACCAGCTGTGACTGGAGTCTTGTCTAGCAACACAGGGATCATGACTGCTGCAGAGCAGCCTGGCCCCTGTGGGAAGCCCAGTGAGACATGGGTGGCTGGTCACTGGGCCTGAGGGACACCAGACTAATAATACACACAAATGCTTCCTGTGGCTTTGCTCCTGAGTCGGCCAAACATTTTTAGAATGGATTTGTTTGTGTTTTTAATAATCACTGACAATGCGGTAAAGAGGTCCTGGATGGGGCAGTAAATTCAGAGTCTGGATTTCCTTAAATACAGGAAGGTTCTGAGCTAGAAGTGCAGCTGGTTCCAGGAGGGCAAGCTAGAGGGGCAAAGCTGGCGGGCAATGCAACGGACAGGCCAATCTTTCGTATTTATGTATCACATATTTTATATATATATGTATATATATTACATCCAAGTCTGAGAGTCATTTGTACCATTTCCCAGGGAGCCGATTTTCGGAGGCAAGGCCAGGGCAGGGGGGCGGGGGTGAGGGCGAGGCGCTAAAGTGCAGGGCCGGGGCGGGGCTTACAGCAGCTGCAGGAGCTTCAGGGACTGCAGGAGCGCGGTGGGCTCAGCCGCCGCCAGGTACTGGCAGCAGAGCCAGTCCTCCAGCTCCAGCCCGCGCCGGCGGTCCACCGCCCTCTCGGCAAACTTCATCATCATCAGGGCACGCTTCATGTCGATCCAGTTGTGCAGCGTGGCACGGAGCGTCTCCTCTGAGCCACCGGGTTGCTCCAGCAGGTCGCGCCGGGGCCCCCAGAGCAGGCACTGCAGCACGCGCTTGGCCTCGCCGATGCGGATGCGCTTGATGGGGTCGGCCTCCAGCAGCAGGTGCGCCAGGCGCTGCAGGCCCGGCGAGTAGAGGGACAGGCTGGGCAGCGGCGGCAGGTCCTCCTGCCGGTAGTCCTGCTCCCGCAGCTGCGCCCGCACCTCGAACGGGTTGGGCTGGTGCAGCAGCTCGTAGATGAGGATGCCCGTCTGGAACTCGTCGAACTTGCGGTACTGCGAGGCGGACACGATCTCGGGGGCCATCCGGGCCTGGCTTTTCTTCTGCTGCAGGTTGGGGATGCTGCCCGGCTTCTGCTTGGCTTTCAGGAAGTTGCTGATGATGAGCCGGGGCAAGTGCTTCTCTCCGGGCGCGCCCCCGCAGGTGGGCAGGGAAGTGGTGGCAGGGCCCGGGGGCGGGGGCGAGGCCGTGGCAGGGGCGGGAGCAGGGGCGGCGGCGGGGCTGGGGGCGGCGTGGCAGGGGGAGGCTGGCGGGGTGCAGTGCACCAGCAGCAGGTTCTCCAGGCACAGGTCCCGGTGGATGACCCCGTGCTCCTTCAGGTGCTCCAGCCCGTTGCACAGCTGCAGCAGCAGGAAGCACACGCGCCGCTCGTATGCCTCGGGTTCCGCCTGGTGGCTGGTAGCCGAGTCCCGCACGAAGTCTGAGGCCGTCTGGTGGGGCACTTCGCGCGTGATGACCACCACGCAGTCCTGCTCCTGGGCCGGGGGGTGGGAGGGCGGGGCGGGCAGGGGGTCCTTGGGCGCGTCCGGAGACGTGAGCATGCTGGAGGGCACGGAGGCGACAAAGTGGCCACAGTCCTGCTGGATGTTGAAGTGCACGGGCACAGAGGGGCTGCAGGAGGCGGCCGACTTGGGCTCAGGGGTTTTGCAGATCTGCGGGGAAGGGGAGAAGTGAGGTCAGGAGGTGGGCCCGGTGTCCCTGCACATAGAGTGTGGGGACACCGCGCACACAAAGGTAGTACTCGCACAAATGGATCGAAACTACTGGATCACAGGCTCAGGAGGGAAAGACTGGCACATATAAATGTTTGGGGGAACAAAAATCCCCTCAAACCAAAAAACAAAAAGAAAACAAAAGCCCATCAGGAAACATTTATGGGGCTGAAGCGATAGTACAGCAGGTAGGGCATTTGCCTTGCACGTGGCTGACCCAGGTTGATTTGCAACATCCCATATGGTCCCCCAGCACTGCCAGGAGTAAATTCCTGAGTGCAGAGCCAGGAGTAACCCCTGAGCATCACAGGGTGTGACCCAAAAAGCAAAACAAATAAACAAAAACAGAAAACAACTTTGAGACTACCTGCAAAGCATGGTCTATAAAAGCACAAATGAATAGTGATCAAAACAAAACCCTTCTGACTTTTAGTGTCAGGGGTGCAGCATGATGAAGTACATGTTCTCCATGTATGAAGCCCTGGGTTCAAGCCCTGACAAACGCCACCAATAATAAAACAAACAAACAGACAAAAATAAGAGACTGGAAAGATATTATAGGAATTAAAGCTTTGGCCCCTAAACCCTGAGATCCAACCTCCCTACCTCAAATGAACAACCCCAAACATCTTTTGTGCTTCAAAAAGCAACTTTAGGGTCAGGCTTGAATGTGGCTAGCAGTAGTTTGATCCCCAGCACCACATGGGCAGGGGCAGTCCTAGAGGCCCCAACTCTGCCTGGGGATGGGGGGAATCTTTGTCACCCCAGGGCCTGAGCAGCACCTCATCCTCAGGCCCTGGAATTGAATGGCCCACCCCTGGGCCTTCTAGGCACCCCTTAGAAGACCACCAGCTCCCACCTCTCCAAGAAAAAGGACAAGATTAAAGAAAACAAGAAGACAAGCAACTGACTGGCAAAACACACATCTGGGAAGGATATGTAAATCCAGAATTTACAAAAAATTCCTACAACTCAGGAATGTAAAGATAACTGTCCCCAAGTTGGCAAAGGATACTAATAAGCACACCATCAAAGAAACATGGAAAAGCCCATCAGCACACAAAGAGATGTTCAGCCTCACGAGTCATTCGGGAAATCAGACACACAAGGGAAGATACGGGCTGACATCCATTAGGAACGTGTCGTAAAAATGACAATTACAGGAGCGATGAGCATGAAGAGATGGGAATGCTCACAGATGGCTGAGGAAACGTAAAAGGCGGTGAACACATTTTGGCTGTTTCTTTAACAGTTTATCATCAAATCGCCTCATACTCCCGCCACCAGCCAGCAGAAGGTCCCCACAGAATAACCTGCAGAGGGGCAGGATGGATAATGTCCTTCCCCCTGCCCAGTGGCTGGACTAAGAGGGAGTAAAGTTTGCACAAGCAGGTCACCTTACTCCCCCAGCCTCTGATTCCCAGCAGGCAAGCTATAGACTCTCCTTCTGGGGGACCCTCTGGGCAGACCAGGCCCTCAACCTTTAGCACTGGACCAAGTTGTGCTGGGCTGCCCAAGTTTTGGGCTGTAATCATGGGCCGATTTTGGCACTGCCATGAGGAAGCGCTTTGCCTGCATGGATGAGTCACAGCTGCTGAAATCAAACAGAAGGCTCTCCCGGGAGGCAAACCCAGAGTCTCCAAAGGCACCCCCTGCTCCCAGTGGAGGAGTAATGAAGCAGATGAACTTCAGCTCCCTGGGGAATCTCCACAACCGACTCTTCCCGCTTCTTTCCCTCTTGTCCTGACGCTAGTATCCACCAAGCCGCATGCGCCCAGCCATGCTCAGCCTCCTCTGAGTGGCCTGAGCCAGACAGAGGCGCCCTCCAGAAGTCCTCCTTTTCCTGTGACTACACTGAAAGGGACTGATGTGGTCTGTGTTCGCCTCTCTCCGAGGGTATTGTGTAAGCTCAGCAGTGCTTTATAGCAGGGCAGGCTCTGTAATCCCAGAGAAGAAAAGCAGCTCAGCAGTAGCCTGTAAAATAACACCCTGCAAACAATTCCCAAACCATCCTCCAGACTGCCACCCCCAAGCCATCACAGCCACCACAGGGCTCACAGCTGAGGTGTTTAGAAATCCCCCAGCTAGCACCTTGCAGAGATACCGACTTCTATCACAACCCTTCACACCTCTGGGGCATGAGACTTGTCAGGAAACCACCCTCTCAAGAAGCTCTGAAATAAACAGATCATTGGTTGTAGGAAGGAGGGGGGGAATATGCTCTCTGAGCAATCTCTCTGTGGCAGAACAGAAACTGGAAGGAGCACAATCTATTCCAGATGCTGTTCCCTAAGACCGGCACAAAAATCATTTGGGAATGCCAGTCCAGAGTGCACTGTGGCAAGCGCTGATTCTAGAGGCCACCCGACTCTACCCAGGCTGGGAAACAGGAAACTAAAGGCAACTGGGGATGGGACGTCTTGGAAATCATTCTGCAGGGGCTAGAGAGATAAGGATAAGGCGCCTGTCTTGCATGCACCTGAGCTGGCTCAATCCCTGGCACCACACACACATTGTCCTGTGAGCACTGCAGGAGAGGCTCTCCATACACAGCAGCCAGTAAGGTTTGCTTCTTAAACTGTTTTTTAATAGAGACCACACCAGCTGAGCTCCAGGAGCCCAGGGCAGTCCCAGAGATACTCAACCCTGCGGGGACCTGCCTGGCAGGGCTGCTTGGCCCCTTCCTCCTGAATGCCACCAGAGCTACACCTAGGGGTGCTCAAGGGACTCTGGGGGGCTGCAGGTTCAATTCAGGACATCACACCTACTAGGCTTGACTCCACCATTTGACCTTTCTCCTTGGCCCTGCAAAACGGTTTCTTTTTGCTTGATTGTTTGGGGCTATACCCACCACTGTTCAGTGATTATTCTGAGGGTCATGTCCCTCCACAGACCTCACCCAGCTCTCCCAAGAGCGTGGCACCTTGCCTACTGTACACTTTTCTCCTGGCACAACATTAAATCTCAAACCTGGTGAACAGATGGTGTGCAAAGGAGGAAATGGAGATTTCAAGGGGGGTAACAAGATTGGCCCAAGACTGGACCCCTGAGAAGGCTACTCATGTCGAAAGGAGGGGGATCAGGATAACAAGACTTCGTTTCTAATAAGGTAAAGGTAAAGGTAAAGGCCCTCCCGTTGTTCCTCGATTTGCTGAGTGGGCCCAGTAACGTCTCCATTGGAGACTTTGTTGTTACTGTGTCTGGCATATCGAATACTCTCGGTAGCTTGCCGGGCTCTCTGAGAGGGGCGGAGGAATCAAACTCGGGTCGGCCATGTTGGCTGCATGCAAGGCAAATGCCCTACCGCTGTGCTATCGCTCCAGCCCTAGTTTCTAATAGGGGGCCGAAATGATAGTGCAGTGGACAGGGGACTCGCCTTGCATGCAGCCAACCGGGGTTTGATCTCTGGCATCCCAAACAGTTTCCCGAGTATGTCAGGGGTGAGCCCTGAGCATAGAGCCAGAAGTTAGCCCTGAACACTGCTGGGGTGTAGCCCAAAGACAAACAAAAAGAGACCTTGTTTCCAATATGAACTTTGCTCCCACCGGGGCTTTACAGTCAGTTCTTGATATCTGTGAGTTCAGGAGGCAGCCAGAAGGGTGAGTTAGCCAGGGTCATCGGGGAGACAGGATACGTTTTACAGTCACGGGGAGAGAACCTGAAGCTGTGTAGTTCTAAGGTCATTGGGGGAGATAAGATGTGTAGTTCTCTGCCTCTGGGAATGACATTCTCATGAAGGAACTCTCACTTTCCACCTGCTTCCCTTTAAGAGCAGCTCACTTAAAGGCACTGGTGACTCACAGCACCAGAACTCCTGCCTGACCGAAGCTCATTCCTGTGGAGGGCACAGTCTGGGCCTCTTCAGCGGCTCTGTTTGGCCATTTCAGTTGGGGGCTCACCAACAAAAGCACAGGCATGTAAAGAATGAGGCACTGAATAGATGGGTGGGGGTTGGGGGAAGACACTTGTTTACAGAGAAAAGCTGGAGCACAAGGCAGATGGCTGCCTTATTCAACCTCAGCTGGGCATTTGCATGAGTGTGGAAGACTCAAATCCCACCCAGCCCCCTCCGCCAGGAATGCCAGCCTAAGCTCCTAAGCTCCCAGAGAGCCCAGTGGAGCTGTGAGCAGCAGATTCACAACTGCAGGCGCCATACATTCGGGGGATGGGCTGCAAGTCCTTTATGTGGGTCCCTCCAGTAAGGGGGGACGGGGTAGGGGTGGCCCTGACCTCCTTGCTCAGAGAGGCTGGGCCAACAGGAAGCACCCAGGTGAGCTCTGCACAGGGCCTGGCCCAGGGCGTGAGGGAGCTGGGAGAGACAGCTGCAGCCCAGTGCTAGTGCCAGGGGGAGAGGAAGCCTTTTCCAAGGAAGCTCAAGGCTATCCACGGTGACCTGGGACTTGGTCAGAGTTCCAGCCCCGCAGCTCAAGACAGTCTGCAAAGAGATGCAAATGAAGAAGCAGAATCAGTGGCCACTGTGCTGGACACAGTTCACCAACAGGGTGCTGGCCCTCCGGCCCGGGGCTCCGAGGCCCAGGGCTCCATCATTAGCCCCTTCAGAGAGCACGAGAGAGAGAGAGAGAGAGAGAGAGAGAGAGAGAGAGAGAGAGAGAGAGAGAGAGAGTGTGTGTGTGAAAACAACGAAGCCCACAGACCCCAGCCCATTCTACAGGGAGGGAGGGAGAGGAGTTGGGGAGGCTTCTTCTCTCCGGTCCCATCTTCCCTCCTTCCCATTCCCTGCTTGACCTCAGAGGCAACCCCAGCCCCACTTTCTTATCCCCTCGCCATTGTTTCCCTTTCTACAGTTGGTTTCCAGTGTCCTCTGAGAAAGTGGGACTTCCCACGTGGTTCTAAGGAGAAGGTGGCTATGGGGACACCACATGGGAGCTTTCCCATTCTCTCGCTACCGGAGGCGGGTATCAAAAGCTCTCTGCTTATCCCTGGGTGCTGATCCAGGGGGTGGCAGATCCCAGAACAGGTTCTATTCCTTTGGGTCAGAGGAGTTAAGCGTTCTGCACTAGGTTCAGAATAAGTCAGCTCTCTCTCGCAGGCAGCGCTGAGAAGGACCCCAGGGCCGGCCTCACATATGCAGGGCAAATACATGACCCCTGAGTTAAGCCCCCAGCCCATGTCAGCGATCTCTGGACCCAGAATGAGTGTCCAGGTCCAGTCCAGGAGCAGGAGCATGGAGGGAAGTGCCTGAAGACAGCTTCAGGATGGGCATGAGGGATGAGTCCCAACACTGTCCTTAGCTCCCCTGAGCAAAAGCCCCCACCCCTCCCCCTGGATTTTAGGGGACTCAGATTTTCATTCATGGAATGGGGCAGAACCCTGCTCTGTGCCAACAGAGACATATAGGGGATTCATGTTCCACTCACTGGATCATCCCATAATCCGCTCACTTTCCTCCAGCGGATAAAGTCCTGCTCGAGTTATCAGGAAAATGCTGGAATTTCAGTTCTCTCTCAATTATGGAAGAGAGCATGGCAGGGAAGTTTGGCTTTCCAAAAAGTGGCTTTTGGGTAGAACTGTCAAGTGGCGATGAAGTTCAAGCCATACTCACAGGCTCTGACTCAAGTTGGCCTTTTTGGGCCAGTGTCCACTAACTTGGCTCTCCCTGCTGACACAGTTCCTGAAAAATGGGCTCCTCCTAGCATATATCCCGCCCCCGCCCCCCCCCCAGACATTTCACAGAAAGGTGGTAAGTAATTATAATATGCAGAATCTTTGATGAGCCAGGGATTTCCAGGCTTTATTTTACAGTGGTGTCACCAATTTCTTCTAAGACAAACATCCAAGTAAAATCTGCTGCAATTTTCCTGGTCTACACACAATTTCAAAAAATCTTGAGGGTGGGCCGGAGCAATAGTACAGGGGGGAAGGTGCCTACATAGCCTGAGTTTGCCCTGGTTCTGTGCCCAGCACTATGTAAGACTCCCTGAGCCCTATCGGGTGTGAGTCCTGAGCACAGAGCTAGGAGTAAGCCCTGAGCACTGCTGAGTGTGGACCCAGACGAAAATAAACAAACAAAAAAAGATCTTGATGGTGAGCAGGAAGTGGTCCCATGAAGGTCACAGCACGTGAGCTCACGTGCTACACTTTTCTTCACTGGGCCTGGGTGAGCACCTTGAGAAAAGAGGGGGAGGCTGGAGCTCCCAACCTCCCTCCCCACAAAGGTCTGCGCTCACAGAAGGCCCAGAAGGATCTGAGAAAGGAGGTCACGGGGGCGGTGCAGACGGTTCCGCAACTGGCTCTGAGCTGTGCAGAGAGCAGTGGAGTGTGATGGCAATGACTTCATCACAAAGAGGGAAGTGCTGTGTGACCTTCAGCGTGTCACTGAAGTCTCTGGACTTCCTTTTCTTCACATGATAGTGCTGAGGATGTGCTTTAGAGAGACAAAGTAAGTTTCCAAATTCCTGCTGGCCACCCACTTGCTGGGGCAAGTGAATCATTCTAAGTCTCAGATCCTCCCCCTCTAAAACTACTTACTGGGTGAGGACTGGAGGCCACGTGGTTTACTGGGCCAGGAATGAGGTGGACAGGGAATGTTCAGTCAGTGCTATCCCTCCTCCCCTGCTGGCCAAGATGGTGCCTCCCCTGCTGCCTCCAGGAGCTGAAAAGCACCTCTGTAATCGTCTGCTTCCCCTGTGAGAATATCTACTTCCCTAAGGGGACCCCGGGGTCACCAGTTTACACTCAGCTCTCTGCGAAACACCCAGCCTACAAATGTAAAAAATCCTGTTGAATACATGAGCAAACTCTCTGCACCACTGAAAGCCAAGTATTGCCTTAACCCCACTGGATCCCAAGTTCATTCCTGCAAGCTCAAGAAAGAGTCTTCGACCCACACTTCACATCTCAGTACACAGAACCTGGGGCCAGGCGGAGAGGGAAATCAAGGCACAGGAAAGTGTCCAAGGAGCCCTGCAATGAAGCCCGGCCATGAAATCAGGATGGGAGACAGCACTTGCTCGGGCCATGCTCTGCCCTATCCGTACCGAGACCGGCCGGTGGGTGGCGTGGCAAAATGGGAAGGAGGGGATGGTACCTACTTTCACAGCGTAGGTGCTGCCGGGGTCCTCGGAGCAGGTGGCACAGTAGTAGATGGCATCCCCGGAGTCACAGCAGGGCTTGTTGCAGGTCAGTTTGAAGAGCGACCAGGTGTTCTCATCGAAGTGCAGTTCCTTCTTCTGGCCGCCCAGGAACAGGTCCTCGCATCTGGCCCCGAGGCGCACTAGAGACTGGGCGTACAGTGCCCCCAGCTTGGCATAGGTGCCCTCCTTGCTGCCAATGCTGCTCAGGAGGCTGTGTAGTTGGAGCTGCGTGCTGCTGGAGGACGCCTGGCTGGACACGCTCAGCTGCGAGGACGCGGCCGAAGGGGTCCCCCTGCATGGACTGCCTGCCGGCCCCGAGGCCCGGCCCCAGTGGCCATTCCCTTTGAACGCTTTCTCCAGAGGCTCGGACGAGGAGAAGAGAGGGTGCTGGAAGTTGCCGGGGCTGCAGGTGTAGCTGAAGGGGGGCTCCTCGGGGGCACAGACATTGGTTTCTGAGTGGCTGAGGTTCAGCTTGGGGCTCGCAGTTCTGGGCTTGGGGGACCCGTGCGTCCAGAAGAAGCCATCAGGGGAAGAGGCAGCCCGACTCACTAACTTTTTCTGGGGGAGTGGAGGGGGTTGCAGCGGGCCACTAGGGGACACATCCTCAGCGGAGCCCGAAGGGAATGGAACAGGAGCAAACAGCTTCTTCCCGCTGTGGGTGGGCGAGTGGGTGGGTTCAGATGAGGGGCCTGGGAGAGAACGGACAGAAACAGTTAGTGCTATTCAGCGAGGCTCCGACAGGGGTCTATGGGTATGGTGGTAGTGAGAGCCATTAACAGGATCCTATTTTTATCCAACTCATTTTGGAGAGGTAGGGCTGGGACCACACTCAGGGCCTCTTCCTGGCTCTGTGCTCTGAAGTGCACCCCCCACCTCTCCCAGGGAAGGAGCCAGGGACCCATCTGCAGCTCGAGGATTGGAACTAGGCACGGTGTGCCACATGCAAAACAAGAACCTTAAGCTCAGAACTACCTCTCCTGCCCTGCTCCCCAGCCCAAAATTTTATGTATTTCTTGTAAAAACAATAGTTGCACAATGAACCAAAGACAAGTTTTGAAAAAGGCACTCAGTGCAATGCCTTTCATGCAATGACCCAGCACATGGCCCCTCCGATCAGAGGACAGCCCAGAGACCAGTTTCCCCTCATCGCTCTGGAAGATATCTGGAAATATATCAATATACCATGCAAACACACCTGCATGCATTCTTATGAGGGCAAGGCGACGGTGCCACTGTCGGGAAAGTTGCTGTCCCTGGGCATGTGTTTGCAGGTTTTAACAGGGGAGAGCAGCATCCGGGACCAGAACACGGTTCATCCCTATTCGGGAAGATTCTGAGGAGGGGACACCGCTACGCCGGCCCCTTCAGCCACAGGCAGGGGCTGGAAAGATAGTATAGCCAGGAAGGCACTTGCCTGGCATGCAGTCCACCTGGGTTCAATCCCAGATGGTTCCCTGAGCCCCAGCAGAAGTTATCCCTGAGTGCAGTCAGGTGTAAGCCCTGAGTTTATTTAGTAGGTGTGAACCAAAAACTCAAAAAATAAAGGTGCAGGCAGATTTCCCTCCACTCACTGTTGCTTTGCTTCATTTGATGCTACACCTTTTTTTTTTAACTTTTTGGGTCACACCCGGTGATGCACAGGGGTTACTCCTGGTTCTGCACTCAGGAATTACTCCAGGTGGTGCTCGGGGGACCATATGGGATGCTGGGAAATAGAATCCGGGTTGGCCGCATGCAAGGCAAATGCCCTACCTGCCATGCTTTGCTCCAGCCCTGATGCTATAGCTTGAAGGTATCTTCACATCAGGTGCTGACACCAGTGAACCTTCTCAGAGCTATTCCCTGACACACCATTGTAGGCAAACGGACTTCATTTCCCTAGGACCCCGGGGAGGAACTCCTGGGTTTCTCCCACTGCTGCAAATAACGTCAGCACAGCAATCACAAACTTAAACACTAACTCTATGGACTTAAACACCAGATTTATGCCATGAAAAATGAAGACTTTAAAAAAGACCTATTTAGTTAAAGTAAAATTGTTCCAACCCCACCTCCTTTTAGTCTGTGATTTGCTGGTTGTTGACAAACACCCTGGTGGCTTATGGACCTGGGCAGGGGACAGGCATTTTATTTTATTTATTTATTTTTTTGCTATTTGGGTCACACCCGGCAATGCACAAGGGTTACTCCTGGCTCTGCGCTCAGGAATCACCCCTGGCAGTGCTCAGGGAACCATATGGGATGCTGGGACTCGAACCCAGGTCGGCGGTGTGCAAGGCAAACGCCCTACCCGCTGTGCTATCGCTCCAGCCCCAGGGACAGGCATTCTAGAGGCAGAGGTAAATGGCTTGATCAATTATATATAATATAAATTATATATAAGCATGCTTATATAAATTATATGACGTATCATCATATACAAATATATAATTATATAAATTACATATAAAATGTTTTCATGTACTATGTATCTTTTAAAACAGGGTTCTGCCCCTTGGGGCTGGGGCAGGGATGGGGGTGGGGGACACGCAGTGCTGGAGGAATTAAACTCAAGGCTTCCAGCGACCAGGGCCATATTCTACCATTTGAGCTACTGCCACTTCAGACCTTAAGGAAAAACAAATCTTTCCTGCCAGTAGTTCCGAGCCTGCAGCACATCAAGGCTGAAGTGGATTTGGAACTGCTTCCAGCACAAGGCCACCTGTTTCTGGCCACCTGTTTCTGGAGACACAGGGAAAGTCTGTTCAGTGGGACCGACAGCCAGCCATGACTGGGCTCCACGCTGTGTGTGATGAGGTTTCACAAGGAAGCCAGAGTTCCGGTCAAAGAGAGAGAGAGCCCGGGCATCCAAGAGAGCCCCGTGGGCCAGGTGAGACACCACGTCCTTCCTGGAGCTGTGGCCACCATCTTAATAACAGTGGGAAGAAAAGGATCAGGGGCTGTCCCAGGGGCTTCCACGCGGCCCCTATTATCCTGAAGCAAAAGTCATGAGGGTGTGAGAGGGGCAGGCGGGAATTTGCGGTGGGCACCCCTCACTCACCCTCATGCCATGAGCTCGTGAGGCCCCTCTTCCTGCTGCTGTAGCAGGTCGGGAGAAAAAGGAACCAGCCCGATCTGAGGGGCAAGTGGGCGAAGGTCCCGGGAAGCCACGTGCCTGTCTGCTCTGCTTCTCCTTGTTAGACTGCATTGCCTTCCTACAGCTGCTCCCAGAGGAGCTTCTCACCCTCAGTGCTCACGCTGGGCTGCGCTCTGCCAGCTTCGCCAACAGGGCACAGAATGGACCCCCAAAGCACACATGGGCCCCAAGCCCCTCAGATTAAGACTACTCCCCCTTCCTGCCCCCATGGCTGGAGAGGGCTCACGGGGCTGAGCACTGCCTGCAGGAGGCTCAGGTGCGGCCCATGGTACTGCAGGCTTCCCTAAACACCAAGCCTGGAGTAGCCCCTGAGCATCTCTGGGTACAGCCTCTAGAACCAGAAGGGAATGAAAAATACCTGGATGTCTGTATTTTAAAAGGGGGGCCCTTCTGCAGGGCATGGTAGATGCCTCACACTCAGGGGCTCACCATGCCCTGGGCAGGCGTGCACTGATGCCCACCACCAGTCTCCCTGGGACAATGCCAAGGCATGAAGGCAGTCAGGGTCCTGCTCCGCCTTGGTGGATGCAAAGCTTGCTGGAGGACATTGTGGAGGCTGGGAGCTGGGAAGCCTGATGCTCATGGCAAGGGCGACCCACCCAGGGCTGCGGACCAAGACTGGGAGGTCCCCACGTTGGGGACCTCATTTCGCTCCACCATCTTGGCCAGAGCCAGAGGGAACATGGAGCGTCTCTGGCTTCTGAACCCCCTCACTCCCCAGGACTTTATCAAGATCTCTGGGAGTCTGTCATCTCACCCTGCAATGCAGGAGGCCCAGCTTACTCACGAATGAAGCAGATGCTGGGAGCTGTCAGGAACAGTCGCCCTGTCAGGCCTAACTCAGGCAGGATGCAGAGTCCAAAGGTCTCCCCATCCCACACACCCCAGGAAGAAGCCTGGTTAGCAATTAAACTGATTCACAGGCACTTCCTCATCCCTGCAGCAGGAAGAGGGAGAAGAGCGGAGGGAGGAAGAGGAAGAGGGGGGTGAGGAGGAGGAGAAGAATCATTCACCAGCTCCCTGAGCAAACTCCCTCATGGATGAATTCCTGGTGGGTGACAGGGACAAGCTGTCATCTGAATATCACTTTCCAGTTCTAGTCACTCCCCCCTGCCCACCACTCTAACACACACGCGCGCGCGCGCACACACACACACACACACACACACACACACATCTTTGTGTCTCCGGTATGACTCTGTTGATGTCTTGCACACATTCTTTTCCACCTTGAGTCTGATCTGCAGGTAGGGAGCTCCTGAACTCACTCTCTGTCAGTTTCCTCATGTCAGGCATACAGGCCGATGGAGGCCTGTACAGCAGGCCATGATCAGCTCAGCAGCTGTCTCCATTCCGCCTCTCCAAACATGCTTGTCTCTAAGCAGCCACCAAAATAAAACCCCTCTAGGTAGACGTTTCCCTGTGTTTCAATCGTTTGTCTAGATTGCTGCCCCAGGATATAGGGACCTTTTTAGACTTGGGGGTTTTGGGGTCAGACCTAGTGGTACTCAGGGCTTATTCCTGGCTTTAGTGCTCAGCAGCCACATGCAGTGTTGGGGATCAAATCCAGGTGGATTTGTCCAATGCAAGTGCTTTGCCTGCTGTACTACTGCTCAGGCCAGGAACCTTAAAAAACAAAAGAAATGACGGGCTGGAGCAATAGTAGGAAGGGTAGAGTGCTCACCTTGCATGCAACCAACCTGGGGTTCGATCTCTGGTGCCTTAGATTGGCCTGAGCCCACCACGTGGATGTGGCCCAAAAAGCAAACAAAAATTTGATGTCACTTTCTAGTGCTCAGGAGCAGACTTCTAAAACTTTTCCTACTTGCAACCCCTTTTCATGAGAGAAACGCAACATGAGTGAGATTGAATTCATGATGCACCTGATTTTGGATTCATTTTTGGTCACTGTGCTTTCAGAAACCTTTAGCTGTTGCCTCGTTTTTTTTTGCAACACCTCTCATTCAAGTACAGGGTGTATGACCCACAGTTTAAGAAGCTATGGCGGGGGTATGGTGCCGCCAGCAAGTCAATCTGTACCTGTGAGGTGAGTGCATCAGTAGCCTGATGGCGCCTTCAGACTTCCAGATACCCCAAAATTGCTGCTGTGCCTTTGTTTTTTTTATTTTATTTTTTTAATGAATTAATTTATTATTATTTTAATAGTGAGACATCATGAGGTACAGTTGCAGACTTACACATTTTTGTGCTTGGGTTTCAATTATACAATGATCAAATACCCATCCCTCCACCAGTGCCCATTTCCCATCACCACGGATCCCAGTATCCCTCCCACCCCTCATCCCCCCCATTCCACCCAGGTGTGGTATTCTTACTAATAAACAGAAATTTCTCTTCTGTGCAAGGCAAGAAGTCATGGTCTCAGATAAGCTCAAAGAACACCCCAAAGACGAACCCAGACTGCTCGATTTCTTTTTTGGTTATAACTATGGTTATCCATGGCTAAATGTGCAGCTGTCCCTGGTGGATCTCAGGGACCATGTGGTGTCTGGTATCAAATCTGGGTCTCCCACATGTGAAGCACATTGCTCC